AATGTTCTAAAATTGGATTGTTGTGATGGTTGCACAACTCTGTAAATATACTAAAACCACTGGATTGTGCATTTCACATGGAAGAACATTCACATGGTGTGTATATTATATCTCAATAAAGCTGTTTACAAAAAAACATTATGAACACTTAAAAACACTTTCTGCTCCAAAGTAAATAAATTACTTCACTAATGCTTCAAAGAGTTTGTTGAGGGGAAAAAAAAAAAAAACTTCCCAGAAAACACCACACAGTGCATCAGGGTTTCCACTTTGAAAAGCTTATATGGCATACATGGTATATAAACTATTAAAAATCACTATTTCTGGAGCCCATTATTCTTGAAGGTAATCTTTGAAACCACCTATTGAAGCTCATGGCATTGAGCGTGCTGATTCTAAAATGGTTAATGTTCTTGGGACACCTGGCTGCTTCAGTCAGTAGAGTGTGTGACTCTTGATCTCTGGAGTTGTGAGTTTGAGCCCCAAGTTGAGTGCAGAGATTACTTAAAAATAAAATCTTTTATTTTTTTTTAAGATTTTATTTATTAATCACACACACACACACACACACACACACACACACACACACACAGGCAGAGACACAGCAGAGGGAGAAGCAGGCTCCATGCAGGGAGCCTGACGTGGGACTTGATCCCGGGTCTCCAGGATCACACCCTGGGCTGAAGGTGGCACTAAACCGCTGAGCCACCCGGGCTGCCCAAAAATAAAATCCTTTAAAAAGGGGCACCTGGGTGGCTCAGGCTCATCTGGGTAAATGTCTGCCTTTGGCTCAGGTCACAATCTGGGGTCCTGGGATCAAGCCCCACATTGGACTTCCTGCTCAATGGGGAGTCTGCTTCTCCCTCTCCCTCTGCCTGATGCTCCCCTTGTTTGCTCTCTTTTGCTCTGTCAAATAATAAATTAAAAAAAATTTTAAATCTTTTTAAAAATAATAGTAAAATAAGTGGTTAATGTTCTGGTTTCAAATCATCTGTGTCTGATGGAAACAGCTTCATGGAACTCTGAATCTAATAAAATACCAATATGATGGAGAGCTAAGCAAGCAATGCCACCAGAAAGCATTTCATTGAATAAGGCAAGGATGTTCACTCTCACTTTGCTATTCAGCATTGACATGGAGGTCTTAGCTAGAGCAATTAGGTAAGAACTTTTTCTTATAACTTAACATAACCTAAAGATTAGAAAGATTAGTTTCCTATAATATAACCTAAAGATTAGAAAATCTTTATTCACAAATAACATGATTGTCTATGTAGAAAATCCTCAGAATCTACAGAAAACCTACCAGAATAGGTGAATTTAGTTAAGAACAATTTACAAAAGTCAACTCTAGTTCTTTATACCATCAGCAGATAATTAGTGATAAATAATAAGTACCATGTATAATAGCATCAATAAACAAAGTAACAGGAATACATTTAACAAAAGATGTGCAAGACCCCTATAAAAACTACAAAATATAGTTAAGAGAAATGAAAGAAGACCTAAATAAATGGAGATATACTCTTTTCAAAACGTCAATTTTCCCCAAAGTGATCTATAAATTCAATGAAATCACATTATCAGAATGTATTTTTGTAAAAAAAAAAAAAAATGACAAGTTGACTCTAAAACTGCCATGGACCTGCAAAAAATCTAGGATAGAAAAAGCAATTTTGCAAAAAAAAAAAAAGAAGAAGAAGAAAAAAAAAGTAGAGCATGTATACTACTTGATTTCAAGACTTTCTATAGTCACATAATCAATAGTGTGGTATAAGAACAACCAGATCAATAGAACTGATCGGAGTCCAAAAATAGACCCTTGAATACACAGTAAACTGATTTTCAACAAAGTTGCCAAAAGTAATTTAACGAGAAAGGACAGTCTTTTCACAAATGGTGCTGGAACTAGATATCTATGTGAGGAAAAATGAACCTGATCCTTATTTCATACCATCTGCAAATATTAAATTGAAATAAACCATAGACCTAAAGAGGACTTTAAAACTTTCAGGAGGAGAAAATATTCACACCCTTGGGGTAAATTTCACAGGATACAAAAAGCATGATTTGAAAAAAATTGATAAACTAGACTTCATCACAATTTTACATTTCTGCTCTTCAAAAGACACTTTAGAAAATAACAAGGCAAACCACAAACTGGGAGAAAATAGTCGCAATATATCTGACAAAAGACAAAAGCTGTGTGTGCAGACTATATTAAGAACTCTTACAATTCAGTAACAGAGGGAACAATTCAAATTTAAAATAGGCAGAAGTCTTGAACAGACACTTCACTAGAGAAGATATGTGAAGAGCCAATAAGCACATGAAAAGATGCCAATCATTATGTTATCAGGAAAATACAAGTTAAGCAGCAACCAGAAGCCACTTCACATTTACTAGGATGACTCTTATCAAGCTGACTGACAAAACCAAGTGCTGGTGAAGACACATAGCACCTGCAACTACCATACACTGCTGGCAGGGATACAAAGGGTGTGAACCACCTTTAAACACTGTATGGTGGTTTATTAAAAAGTTAAATATATAAAAACATATGTTAATTAAAAAAGGCTTATATAAAAATGTTCATAGCAGCTTTATTCATAAGCCCAAACTGGAAACAACCCAAATGCTCTATCAACAGGTAAAAAGATAAACTGTGGTCTACTCATACGACGGAATACTAATCAGCAATGAAAAGAAGTGAAGTACCAACACATACATTGTCATGGATGAATCTCAATTCTATTGAAAGAAGCTAGACAAAGTGTACATACTATATGACTGCATTTATATTAAGTTCTAGAATAGGCAAAACTATTCTCTCATGATAAAAATCAGATCGGTAGTTCCCTGGGGTGGGTATAAGATGGGGCGGGGGTTCACTCCAAAGAACATGAAGGAATTTTCTGAGGTGATGGAAATATTCTGTATCTTGACTGGGGTATTGGTTACACGAGTGTATATACATTTATTTAAACTTACTGAACTAGTGATCTGTACTAGTTTTCTTCTTTTTTAAGATTTTATTTATTTACTCATGAGAGACACAGAGAGAGGCAGAGACACAGGCAGAGGGAGAAGGAGACTCCATGCAGGGAGCCTGATGTGGGATCCGACCCCAGGTCTCCAGGATCAGGCCCTGGGCCACCCAGGCATCCCTGTACTAGTTTTCATTAAAGAATAAGTACATAGGCATTAAAGTCTACAGACAAAGTTGATTTTAAAAGAAGTATTTCAGAGTTCTTATAGATCTTTTTTAATTTAGTTCTTTAGTCAGGGATACAAAAGAGTTTAGTTTGATGGCTTTCAAATATCTTTATGCACATAGCATGCCCAAGCAATGCACCTGAACTCTTAAATATAAAGCATCAGCTCTAAGCTCTTACTCTGCAGATTGGGAAAATGGAGCCCAAGTATCCTGATTTCAAGTTCAATATTGTTTTCACTATTTATGTTAAGGCTCTAAAATCCACAAAGCAACTTATGTTAGTGCTATTGAAATGTTACTGTGCTCAGAAAAAGCAATTAAAATTAACAATGAGAACACTCCCTGAAGAAATGATAGATTTAAAACAATTATTCTGCAATTCCTAATGAAATATCAGATCTAAGTAATAATAATCAAAGAATATTAAAATCATTAAGTGAAAAAAAAAATAAAATCATTAAGTGAACTTTACAATATAAGAACTCAGGCTGACAAACTCTTGAATTTCTGATCAAGCTTTACTTCCACAAATGGCACAACCAGATATTTGGGTCCTCCTAATATGATGGAATAGGCAGCAGAAAGCATCACCAGTGAAGTAGTGATGCCAAAGCAAACAAAACCCCCAAATGATCCCAAGTCTCATCAAGTCACTAGATCTAAATACCAGTTCCTAGGAATCATGGATGGTAGAGGAATGTGTTAAATTAACAGTGAAGACATGTAGGAAGATCCAGAATATGGGAAATTCTATAGGACACATGACCCAATGTTTCGTCCACAAATAAATGACATTAAAAATGAAGAAGAAGAAAGAGGAGGAAGTAAGAAGGAAGATGGGGAAGGACAGGTCAGTAATAAACTTTATTTTTTTTTTCAAGTTTATATTTTTTTTACTAATCTCTATACCCAACATGGGGATCAAACTCATAACCCTAAGATCAAGAGTTACATGTTCTTCCAACTGAGCCAGCCGGGTATCCCTTAAGAGAGAATTTATTTTTTTTTAATTTTAAGATTTTATTTACGTATTTGAGAGAGAGAGAGAGAGAGAGAGCACGTGCACACATGCACATGAGTGGGGGATGGGGAGAGAGGGAGAGGAACAAGCAGATTCCCTGCTGAGGAGGGAGCCTGACACAAGGCTTGATCCCAGGACCCTGAAATCATGACCTGATCCGAAGGTAGATGCTTAATCCAATGAGCCACCTAGGTGCCCCATTAAAGGATACATCTCTGGACGCCTGGGTGCTCAGTGGTTGAGCATCTGCCTTCAGCTCAGGGAGTGATCCTGGGCCCTGGGATTGAGTCCCACATCAGGCTCCCTGCGAGGAGCCTGCTTTTACCTCTGTGTATGTCTCTGCTTCTCTCCCTGTGTCTCTCATGAAAAAATAAAATCTTTAAAAAAATTTTTTTAAATAAAATGCTAATAAGAAAAGTATGGATAGGGGCAAGATAAAAACAGCAGAAAGCTGAAGGTCAGTAATTGTAATATTCTACTTCTGTATTTAAAATTTTCTATAGTAAAATGTATATTTTTTATATCCCCAAGAATTTATATTCATATGCCCAGGCAATTAGAAAGAGGAAGTCTGGGTACAGTGACATTTGAGTGTGATTTTCCCCTCATCTTTAAAAACCAGTGTGCTACCTCTCTGCCTCAGAGACATAAAGGATCTTTCCTTCTAATAGAAAGGGATGGTCAACCAGTGATACTTGGAAATGAGTACTCAGTGGAATATTCAGATACACAGATAGGGTCAAAAGAAAAGTAACCACATACATTTCTGGCACTGCTCCTGAGACTCTCAGAACTGATGGGGAGCAGAGTACTCAGCTCCAGGTCTGTCACCATCTGGCGAGACTCTGCCAGCAAACGCTGAAGCTTGCTTGTGGGCGAAAAGTCATCCTGGGAAGACAGCACAATGTAAGCAAGAGATCAGGAAGCATTTTTAAATGTTTATAGTTACAAGTACAATGTTATAAACACAAATATTAACAACCCATTAATATTTCTCTGACTTTAGGTATTTACATATCAAAATAGGACATTAAAAACTAGAATAACCAAATTCCATTTATTTCTTAGACCCTATTTAGCAAGGGGCACCTGGGTGGCTCAATTGGTTGAGCATCCAACTCTTGTTTTTGTTTTAAGATTTTATTTACTTATTCATGAGAGAGAGAGAGAGAGAGAGAGAGAGAGAGGGAGGCAGGGACATAGGCAGAATGAGAAGCAGGCTTCATGCAGGGAGCCCGGGATTTGATCCCGGCACTCCAGGATCACGCCCCAGATCAGGCTCTGCACTCAACATGGAGCCTGCTTCAGATACTTTCTCCTTTTTTTCTGCCCCTTCCACTTGTGCTCTAATAAATAAATCTTTAAAAAAAAAAAAAAAAAAGGACCTACTTGGCTAAATAATTTGACTTTAACAGAACTTACAACTAATTAACATTCATGTGATAAAAATCACATGATAGGTAAGCTAGGGTGCCTGGCTGCCTCAGTAGGTAGAGCATGTGACTCTTGATCTTGGGGTTGTGAATTCGAGCCCCATACTGGATTTGGAGATTAAAGATAAAATCTTAAAAAAAAAAAAAAAAAAAAGGTCGCCTGGGTGTCTGCCTTCTGCTCAGGTCATGATCCCAGCATCCTGGGATCGAGTCTTGCATCGGGCTCCTTGTTCAGTAGGGAGACTGCTTCTCCCTCTCCCTCTTCCACTCCCCCTTGCGGTCTCTGTCAAATAAATAAATAAAATCTTTAAAAAGTATCTAGACTAATTTTTTCATTAAGGAAAATTAATTCTAGGGGCACCTGGATGGCTCAGGCAGTTAAACATCTGACTTTTGATCTCCACTCAGGTTTTGATCTCAGGGTTGTGAGTTCAAGCTCTGCATTGGACTCCACACTGGTAGTGGAGCCTGCTTAAAAAAAATAATAATAATTCTAATTTTCCAGGAACAAAGATGATCCCTACTGACCTAGAAGATATCTGTGTGCACATGCACAGACACACACTAAATATATATGTATATATGACAATGTAAGCATGCAATGTCATATTTTGCCTCTGAAAAATAGGTACAAACATTGAAAAAGGGTAACTAATATCTGAAATGATACTCACAATGAATAGGGATCCTATTCATCAAACCTATGCTCCTTTGGAATTCCTGCCCACGAGTTTCTCCTCCCATTCCCAGGCAATACTCATCTGTTTTGTCACTAGAGGCTAGTTTGCATTTTCTAGAGTTTTATATAAACACGTTCAAAATTTTGTCTATCTGCCATCTTTCATTCAGCATCGTTATCTTGAGATTTACCCATGTTAGGTATTCATAAGTGATTTACTCCTTTTTTATTCCTGAGGAGTACTCCATTGCATGGATACACCACAGTTTGTCTACCAATTGATGTGTATTTGGATTGTTTCCAGTTTTCCAGCTAATACAAATAAAGCTGTTTAAATATTCACGTGCAAGTTTCTGTATGACATGTCTCCATTTCTCTAGGAGAATAGTTGGAATACGGTAGGTGTATATATCACTCTTTAAGAAACTACCAAAGTGTTTTCCCAAGTGAATTTTTCCACCACCAGAGAATGAAAAGTCCCTGTTGCTCCAGATTCGAGTCAGCACTTGGTACAGTCAATTTTTAACAAAGAGAACACTCATCAGGTACCCATTAGAGGCCAGGCCCAGCAGTATCACATTTAGACCAAGCAACTGTAATGTTATTATTGTATATTTGCACATAAGAAATCAAGGCTCAAAGAAAGTAAATGACTTTACTCAGGTCATTGAGCAAAGACAAAGCAAGACAAGGATTTGAACTCGGAACTGTTTCAAACCCCATTGTCTTCCCCCAAAGAACACCCAAAGTAAGTTCATCTGAACTTATTTCCTCTGTGAAAGAGCTGCAATAAAGATCCTGTTTATGGTGAACACACTGACTGGCTCATTCATGATAGTAACAATGTACTAACAACCCCACTGACCGTAGGAGGGGTGTGAGCAAACTGGTTTATTCAATCAATGGACTACACATCAACAATCAAAATGAAGGGACTAAGTCTTCAAGTATCAAATATCACAAAATATTCAGAGTTGGGAAAAAATCACATTGTAAAAGGACAGAGATAGTAATTTGACCACCTATGTATATTTTATTTAAGATTTATTTATTTGAGAGCATGCATTTCTGTGTGTGAGAGCAGGGCAAAGGGCAGAAGGAAAGAATCTCAAGCAGTCTCCCCACTGAGTGCAGAGCTCCATCCCATGACCCTGAGGTCACCCTGCGCTGAAATCAAGAGTGGGATGCTTAACCAATTGAGCCGCCCAGGCGCCCCCATTTATGTACATTTTAGGCACAAAACAACACTATGTAGTGCTTAAATATATGCTTTTTATATAGTAAAAGTACAAGAACAAGCATGAATGCAACATCAGAATAATTATTAGTTGGAGACGGTGGGGAGAACAGTGCTTGGGACTACCACTTTCTCTGTAACATTTCTTAAACAAGAAAAATAAAGCAAATATGGCAAAATATAAACATGTTAGATTTGAATGTAGGTGAACATTGCTTATTATAGCCTTCATTTTTTATGTTTAAAATATGTGTTAAATAAAATAAAAATAAAAATAAAATAAAATAAAATAAAATAAAATAAAATAAAATAAAATAAATATATTTACAAATCACCTAGAAGACTGAGGGACATTTTGCCTAGAGTCAATCCATAGGATAATATTTTAAGGAAACAGGACGGCAGCCCAGTGCCTCAGCAGTTTAGCACCGCCTTCAGCCCAAGGCGTGATCCTGGAGACCCGGGATGGAGACCCGGGATCGAGTCCCACGTCGGGCTCCCTGCATGGAGCCTGCTTCTCCCTCTGCCTGTGTCTCTGCCTCTCTCTCTCTCTCTCTGTCTCTCATGAATAAATAAATAAAATCTTAAAAATAAAAAAGAAACAGAAGGAAACTCTGACTTTGGTTAAATGGTATCAAAATACCGTAATTAAAAAAAACAAAAACAAAAAACCAACTGAAGAATGACCAAAATTAAGCACACTAAAAGCAGTTACAGAAGAATTAAAAGTATGTTGGGGAAAAGTCTTGCTTGAATAAGCTGGGTATTTCTCCCATCCAAGTACTAACCAGGCGCAACCCTGCTTAGCTTCCAAGATCAGACGAGATCGGGCACGTTCAGGGTGGTTATGGCTGTAGACAAGCTGGGTATTTCTTTCTTTTTTTTTTCTTTTTAAAGATGTATTTATTCATGAGAGACAGACAGAGAGAGAGAGAGAGAGAGAGAGAGAGGCAGAGACACAGGCAGAGGGAGAGTCAGGCTCCCCCGCAGGGATCCCGATTTGGATTCCAGAACCACACCCTAAGCCGAAGGCAGATGCTCAACCCCTGAGCCACCCAGTGTCCCAAGCTGGGTATTTATAAGCAAAATACAAACCTTCTCACTGGACAATGGTGTCTCTTTGTTGAATAACAAAATCTTAGATGAGTTCTTTGCATCAGAAGAGGGCTCTGTCTCTATTAATTTCTCATCCTCTCTTGTGACAGATTTTGAAGACCCCAAACAGTGGGAATGCTGGATGGCAATTAGCTCACTATAAATAATAAAAGAAACAGAAACAGACATCTTAAAAGGGTATCAAGCATATATCACCAACATTCTTATACTTAAAAGTATCTCAACAGGACAAAAAAAAAAAGCTGTTTTTCTTTTTAACGAAGAAGCTCCAGTTTGAGTAGAACATTATAGATTTGAGTAGAATATTATAAATTGATGCATACCCTTTGCAGTATTAAATCAGAATTATCAGTTAAAGGGTTAACAACAGAATAGAGAATTTCCCTCCCCCTTCCAAAAACAAGAAAACAAAAAAGAAGGTTCAAGAGACAGGATCATCCAAAAGGGAGGACACAGGATAAACTTGTGAAAATTTTTGAGTTTTTGTTTTGTGAAGCTGGTTTTTGCTAATGGTTTTTGAAAGTCCTTTTGTGAAAGTAGAACAGCACTGTGTGGCTGTTAATTCTTCTATAGATCCTCAGAACAGACACATATAGCCAAGCTTCTGGGTAAATTATTAAAGTGTGGGCTCAAAGTGGAGGGAATCACAAAAGCTGTTCTGGAACAGACCAGAGGCACTGGAGCCTCTTCCTCCCATGTTCCCTATATTTGAAAGCTGCCATGGCTTCTCCCTCTACAGCTAAACCCTTATTTATCAAATGGAAGGGTGGTACAAGTGTGAGCATTTTAGTTTGATAATAGAACAGGTACACATTCAGTTCTTATTATCTAAGGAAATATAGGAAAACATAATTATCTTTTCTATTTAATCACGTATTTGTCATGTGATGTCTCGGCATGTGCCTCTGCTGGCAGGCACTGGTCGTTTCGATTATTTCAAGCTGCTGAGGTCAAAAGGGTCTTGAAGCAAAACTCCAAATTTAATTTGAATTTTTTCATATGATTTTTAAATGACTCAGGCTTCTCAAAGGGCCAAAGAAAAATCCAAATAATGAAAATACCAAAAAGAAATTTTATTTTTTTTTTAAAGATTTTATTCATTCATTCATGAAAGACACAGAGAGGCAGAAACACAGGCAGAGGGAGGAGGAGCAGGCTCCATGCTAAGAGGGAGGAGGAGCAGGCTCCATGCTAGGAGCCTGATGTGGGACTTGATCCTGGGAATCTGGGATCATGCCCTGAGCCAAAGACAGACACTCAACCATGGAGCCACCCAGGCGTCCCCAGAAAGAAATTTTAATCACAAAGTCCTATGAAAGTCAGTGTGATGATTAAAACAAGGTTCTCAATATAGCAACTTTGTCCTTTCTGTAATTTACAATTGAAGAGCTTGGTTTTATTTAAAAATAGCAGACATTATTATAGCACCCCTCAACCACGAGATTCGGCAATTCTAACAAGATGAGCCTGACTAATGCAGTATATGCTAATAAGTAATCCATTTTCTTCTCTTAAAAAAACTATTAACTTCCACCAGCTTGTTACATACAAATAGTCTTTTTCTTGCATGATTAAAAAAAAAAAGTCTGGGAATTATACAGTTAACACAAAGGCAGAAGCAGTTGGATATGTAAATATGCCAATGGGGTAGGGGATACGATGGGGAGGTGGCTGGCAAAATTCTTATCTGGGGTCTAGGGAATGTGATCTCTGCACAGACAGCTTATCAATTCACATTGGATCCAGAGTTGAGGAATGCCCCAGAGCAACATTCTACTCTGTAAAGTGACCCCACTGTTAGTTTTAAAAAAAAGAAAAACATATTTGCCCAACTCATGACAACTAGCCTTGTTTTCAAACAAAATCTTTGCCTCAGAAGCTGTCTGAGGTACAAACTTTTCACTGGACTCTAATACAGTCTCTACACAATCAAAAACTCAACAGTCTACATGCCGATGAAGCTGATAAAGAGAGTAACCAGTCTGTCTCAAACACGACTTCTGTTTACAAACAGTGCTTTCCGTTGAGCAGTGCCTACACAGTAGCTACTGGAGCCCTTTCTACTTCCCATCATAGCGTGTGGACTCTCTGGGTTTTGACCAATGCGAATCATTACTAACCTCGTGGAGGAGTTGTATTTCCTTCCACCGGCACTTTCTGAACAAGTACACACAGATTTGTGGCGAACAATTCTTTGTACTTTAGAAGGCTTGAAAATGCTCATCCACTCCATGTCAGACATGTGGCCCGGAGCTTCAATGATGAAGTTACTTGGGTGGCAGCACTTGGATTCATACATGTCACTCTCTCCCAGACAGGTTTCATTTTTATGGCAACAGGAGACTCCAGATCTTTCTATGTCATCTTGACATTCAACATCCAGCCTTTCCGGTTGTTTTGAACCAGAACAGTTGGCCAGGCCCAGGTACACATTGACATCATGCCACTGTTTCTCATCAGATAATGATGTTGATGTTTCGGAGAGTTGTTTCTCTTCATTCTGAATCCCGATCCCATTACCTTTTGGTGACTTTGCATGGATCTTGCACAATGTTCTTTTGTTTTCAGGTTCGACTGGCATTTTTCCTCCCAGAGACCAAGACTTTTGCTTCTCCAGTAAGTCTTTTGTAAATACAGATGAGATAGCAATTACATTTTTTTCCCCAAATGAGGTATTACCCTGTTGTTTCTTCTCTTTGCACACCTCACAAGAGCCCCTGTCTGGCTGATTTTGCTGAGCCAACATGGTCTCAAATTTTGGATGTTTCATCAATGACTTCTGATTTTTCTCCCTCTTAATATCGACTTTTGGGCGGTGATTCTCAAGGTCTGACAAACACATGTCTCTGCTATGGTGGCAGCACAAAAAACCAGAAGTTATAAGATACACTGACTGTATCTTACCTCATTTGTTGAGCTAAATCCTACCTATCAATATCCATTTGTCTGAAATGAAAACGTAAGGGAGAATATGTATTCTTTTTTTCAGAGCCAGATTTCAGCCTGACTTCAGGGAAGTCTCTCTGACCAGCAAGCCCACACACACTCACTTTCCCCTTCCCCTCAACTCCCTCCGTGCTTATTGCCTATACTGCACTCCTTGTTTTACTATGTGCATTATCTACTTAATCACACAGCAAACTTCCATTATAACTATACTGTTCACTAACTTTCATGCACATATCCTGTATTTTCAATAGACTCATTAAGTTTCTTAATAGGTAGAGGCATTTTTAATTCTCCCAGAACCATAGGATAGCCTTTCACAGACATTAAGTATTCTGTAAATACTTGTGGATTGTTGTTATTTCCCTCTCTAATTCCACCTTACTGTTACTGTTTCATAGTAAACAGAGGTAAACCCAGCACTTAAAGGGGACAGAGATTCAAGGGTCAGAGATAAAGTGCCAATGCATCTACCATACTGCATTCATGACCACCCCAGATATCTGCTGGATTTATTTATATGGCAATATCCTCAAGATGATCTAAAGTAAGGATGACAGGTGTGCATAAAATGAAAATTAATAATATACACAAACGTGATAAACCTTTTAATCAACTGTCTTCATGTCACATATATTCAGGTATTCTCCTCTGGAGAGTTCTGACCCCTCAGAGAACTCACCCCTTACCTTCTGGAAGGGCACAAGTCATTTTAGACTCTTTAAAGAGTGAGTTCACTCATCCAGCCCAGCGCCTCCCAGGGGCAAGAAGTACAAAGCAGGGAAAAGCCAGTATGATAGGGCTTTTGCCTGTAAGAGCACTCTGGACCGGTGTGGTGTATACCAGCAGGGATTGCAGCCGGGACATAAAGCATGAGTGTGATGCCCCCCCAGCAGAAGGCTTCGAGAGAAGAGTAAAGCAAGCACAGCAGTCACACTGTCTGTAGCAACAGATGCTCCTTCCAGCGGCTCCTGCAACTACTAACAACCAGGTAAAGGAACTACGGGCAGCCAACCTTTGTGGTTTCATGGTCACACCTAGTGGCTTGGGAACTTCCCTAATTCCTGTCACACTTCTGTCTGGAGAAGAAGACTAAATTTAACTGTAGGATAGTTATATGCCTGTTAAATTAAACCACACCTCATATATTTATATTTTAACTTTACAGAAACCAATTTAATTCACACACTGTTTTTTATAGGTAAGAAAATGTGTCTCCTATTAACAAGGAAAATCAAGGTAAAAGCAGAGATCACCCTCAGCTAGCTGAACTCCCAACTACAGTTATTTATACCCTTGTTGGTGTTATTTCTCTTGGGCAAGTACCACGTCCTATGTATCTTTATTCTCCCCATTCCTAGCCCAGTGAGTGCTAAACACTAAACTCCTGAGTGCGCATGAAAATGACTCACCTCTGTGATTTCTACTTGAGCTCAAACCCTTGTACACACACAACAGATACAAAAATAAGACTAATGAATTTCTTCTATCAAGTGGCTAAATCAGGATCATGCCTAAAATTCTAAGATCAGGTCTCCCGGGATTATAATGACAATTACTAGCTCATATATATTGATTCCCTACCATATAGGGAATAATAGAAGATTCTGGCCCATAGTAAGTACTGAATAAATAGACTGGATGATAAAATAAAACATAAGATCATACTAATAGCATCTTGCTAAGATTACCTGGACTCCAGAACCTTTGATTCCTCCATCTTTGAGTCATAGATCTGTATTAATTCCTGAGAATTTTCCACATTAAAATTAAGAAACTGCAGATCACTCTGTTGTTTTACATAAATCTGCCGTAGATATTGATAAATCAATAAGATGTGACAACAAAACTATATAGAGCCAACATTGAAATGCTAAAACAGATCAGTGATAAATATGCTAAATATGTTTGCTTTTATTTTTCCTATGTGAGCACTCAGATTTCTTAGTATAACTAATTTCTAAGCCTTTCATTACCATAAGCAAGACCCTATCGGCAATGCTAAATATGATATACCTTTAATGTAGTTAGGATTCCAAAAGCACCATAAACAAAAATTGAAAGACACACACTTTTCCTAATTTGATGTTTGCTTATAAGTGCTTCCCAAATAGTAAGAGCAGTATAACTAGGGACATACCTGTCTGAGATTATGCAGTTCTGCATTTGTACGTTCTTGCTTTGACTTTGCAATATCAAGTAACTCATCTTTCCTTTTTTCTCTCTCTGCTATTTAAGAGCAAATATTAAAATATTTTCATCAGCCATATCAACACAAAATTCTTCATTTCCAAAAATTTAATGTTTCAGTACCATGTTTTCCCCTTGTTCCTGAACTCAAAATTTGCACAATGCACAGCTGGGAAGACTTTAAATCTGTAATTCTGACTAGATCTTTCACCAAACTTGAAAATATTTGTGATATAATTAATGCTGAGTCAAAAAAGGATTCAGAGTTGTATCAACTGTATGTTTGTATACACAAGTAGAAAAAGTCTGAGAGCAAATACATCTAAGTATTAAAGAAGCTTTTTTGGATGGGAGGATTAATGACAATTATTTTCCTCTTTTTTAATGAGGGTGTAATAAAGTACATATTAATTTTTAATTTTTTCACATTACATTACATTCACATACATGAATTTTTCACAGTTCATGTGACTTATGAACACATTTTCATTATAAAAATCCAAACAACATATTACCTCTATCAACAGAAAAAAAATGAACATTATAAGGGACAATAAAAAAAATCGTGATTTTTACTAATATGAAGTCAATCTGATACAATCTCACAATCAGGCCCTTCCTATATATTGTCACGGACCAAAGACCAAAGATATTTGAGTCTGTTAAGTGCCTCCATAGTAGAAAAACTCGCCCAGCACTCTTTTATTTCTTGAAAACTTTTTATCTTATAGGTAATTAAGATTCCGAGTTCTCTTGAATACACATAGTTATACACTCAATTTTTCTTAGTGAAAAAAGAGAGCAAAGAAATAATTTTTTTAAAAATTTCATTCAATGGGATCCCTGGGTGGCACAGTGGTTTGGCGCCTGCCTTTGGCCCAGGTCGCGATCCTGGAGACCCGGGATCGAATCCCACATCGGGCTCCCGGTGCATGCAGCCTGCTTCTCCCTCTGCCTGTGTCTCTGCCCCTCTCTCTCTCTCTCTGTGACTATCATAAATAAATAAATTTAAAAAAAATTTCATTCAAAAACAAATCTTCGTTCTTTTACAAAGACCATCAACACTTTGCTGAAACATGGACACTCCACTAACTAGAGTTAGGGTATGACAAAGTCATGTTTTAGAAAGTTTTAGGACTTGGTAAATGAGAACACACAGGAAGGAAAAAATCTACAGTGCTGTACCAGGGCTAATACCAGAAAAAAACATTAACATTATGCTTAAGGTGAAATAAAGTGATTCACACAAAAGTAAGAAATCAACAATAAATGCTTCACTTAAAAAAATCAGTATCTGTGTAAGAATTCAAACTAGGGGCAGCCCAGGTGGCTCAGAGGTTTAGCGCCGCCTTTAGCCCAGGTTGTGATCCTGGAGACCTAGGATCGAGTCCCACGTCAGGCTCCCTGCCTGAAGCCTGCTTCTCCCTCTGTCTGTGTCTCTGCCTCTCTCTCTCTCTCTCATGAATAAATAAAATCTTAAAAAAAAAAAAAGTTCAAACTAAATGTATAAAATGACCCTCTACATGAATCAATTTTAAGTAAATCTGATGCAATCTTAAATAAAAATTTACAATATATACATGGTTCTTTCATAAAACACTCTTTTTACATGGCATTTTTTCACATGGATGAAAAATAAGTTTTATTATCACTTTACATCTGGACATCGCATAAAGCAATTAAGGACAAAGGCATGTGCTTTGCAATAGACTGCAACTCTACTAGACCGCCATTCTGCAGTGTCTGCCAGCAGTCAGGGGACCAGAGGGAAGAGTGACAGGGGTCTGGGCACAGGACCCCCCCAATATGATTCATGCTCAGCCCTCCCAATGGGGTGGGGCTCTGTAGCATCATCTCACTTTCAAAGGTAATCCTTGTGTACCAAATTGAAAATATGAATAGAAGCACAGTGAAAGCCACGTTGCCAGGTTTAAACTACTACATCTTTTCTATTCAATTCTGAATTTATTTCTTTGCATTACATGAGTCAATACCATAATGAGAAAATATATATATGTAATGGATTTGCATTATTTATGCAGAGCTGCATTTAGTTTACATAAATTCAATTATAAGCACAAACTAAAAAATAAAGGAATCACAGCTACTTTGACATTAGAAGTAATGCCCACAGGGCATCTGTGACTCTCCTAGTCTCAGTCTTACCTATCTATTAAACAGCACTGTGACATGCTGGGTCTAATTCCTAGTGTTCAGGGATACTTGTTTTGGATACAGTATGGCCCCAAAACAAAAGCCAACTACTTTATTTGGAGTTCAAGGGCAAATTTATTTTATTTTTAAAAGATTTTATTTTTGGGACGCCTGAGTGGCTCAGCAGTTGAGCATCTGCCTTTGGCTCAGAGCGTGATCCCAGAGTCCCAGGATCGAGTCCCACATCGGGCTCCCTTCATGGTGTCTGCTTCTCCCTCTGCCTATGTCTCTGCCTCTCTCTGTGTCTCTTATGAATAAATAAATAAATAAAATCTTTTAAAAAAAGATTTTCTTTTTAAGTAATCTCTACATCCAATGTGGGGCTCAAACTCATGATCCCAAGATCAAGAGTCATATGCTCCACTGAGCTAGCCAGGCACCCCCTCAAGTTTTGCTTTAATCTCTGACTTCAGAATAATCTACTATTGCAGAAGAAGCAACTCCACTCTAAATATAAATGTTTCGGGACACCTGGGTGGCTCAGTGGTTGAGCATCTGCCTTTGGCTCAGGGCATGATCCCAGAGTCCCAGGATCGAGTCCCACATCGGGCTCCCTGGGTATAGCCTACTTCTCCCCCTGCCTATGTCTCTGCCTCTCTTTCTCTGTGACTCTCATGAATAAATAAATATAACCTTTTAAAAATAAATAAACACAAATGTTTCCCTGGATCAGATACTTTGCTACATGGCTAGGTTTAGCTGAGAGAGCAAAGTGAGTGGGTCCACCCATTTTCACAAAGTGGTCACAAAAAAGAAGAGGTAGGGCAGCCCTGGTGGCTCAGTGGTTTAGCGCCACCTTTGGCCCAGGTTGTGATCCTGGAGACCCGGGATCGAGTCCCACATCGGGCTCCCTGCATGGAGCCTGCTTCTCCCTCTGCCTGTGTCTCTCATGAATAAATAAAATCTTAAAAAAAGAAAAAGAAAAAGAAAAGAAGAGGTATTAGACTCTACTGATAGCTTCCTGAGCAAGTAGTCTAAACAAGACTGACAGGGAGAAGGGGCCTGGAAGTCTGCAGCCGCCACATTCGGGTCAAGGCATTATCTTTTCCAGCCTGGGAGAACTGAGGCAATCACTCCGTCCCATGGGGCCTCATTCACAGGACTGTCAGGACCTCAGAAATGTGAACTGGTATCCTCGCTTTATTTGCTAACTTCTTATAAGCAGGTATGTACAAACAAATGAAGCATGTCTCTAAGCCCATGTGAAGAAGTTCATCTTTTTTTTTTTTTAGATTTTATTTATTTATTCATGAGACAGAGAGACATAGACAGAAGGAGAAACAGGCTTCATGCAGGAAGCCCGATGCGGGACTCGATCTCAGGACTCCAGGATCACCCCCTGGGCCAAAGGCAGGCACCAAACTGCTGAGCCACCCAGGGATCCCCAAAAAAGTGTATTTTTAAGACATCTTCCAGTTTCAAATAAAATGTGTACATTTTTAGCCAGAGCACCTGACAGCATATTATGTTAAGCCTTTTATTTTTGTTTTTTGTTTTTTTTTGTTAAGCCTTTTTAAATCATTTTTAGGGACGCCTGGTGTCTCAGCAGTTAAGCGTCTGCCTTCGGCTCAGGGCATGATCCTGAAGTCCTGGAATTGAGTCCCACATCAGGCTTCCTGCATAGAGCCTGCTTCTCCCTCTGCCTATGTCTCTGCCTCTCTCTCTCTCTCTCTCTCTCTGTGTCTCTCATGAATAAAAATCTTTAAAAAAATCATTTTAGGCTTAATTCACTTTTTATAACATACAAAAATTACTTTGACACAGTGGTATGAAGAGAAAAGTTGTTTAAGAAATCAGCTTAGGGGGTGCCTGGGTGGCTCAGGTGGTTAAGGGTCCAACTCTTGGTTTCGGCTTGTGTTGTGATCTCAGGGTTGTGGAACTGAGCCCCGCATGGGACTTCAAGCTCAACAGGAGTCTATTTAAAGATTCTCTTCCTTTGTCCCTCCCCAGCTCGTGCAAACTCCTCTCTCAAATAAATCAAAAAATCTTTTTTTTAAAGATTTTATTTATTTATTTATTTATTTATTTATTTATTTATTTATTTATTTGAGACACAGAGAGAGAGGCAGAGACACAGGCAGAGGGAGAAGCAGGCTCCCTGCAGGGAGCCTAACATGGGACTTAATCCTAGGTCTCCAGGATCAGGCCCTGGGCTGCAGGCGGCGCTAAACCACTGAGCCACCCGGGCTGCCCACAAAAAAGTCTTTTTTAAAAAAATCAGTTTAGGGGACGCCTGGGTGGCTAAGCAGTTGAGTGTCTGCCTTTGGCTCAGGCCGTGATCCCGGAGCCCTGGGATAGAGTCCCACACTGGGCTCCCCACAGGGAATCTGCTTCTCCCTCTGCCTGTGTCTCTGCCTCTCTCTGTCTCCTCATGAATAAATATTTAAAAAAAAAGACTGTTGGTAAATCAACTGTAAAGCTACAAATATACATATATATCTTTGAATATATTTACATATGTATTTTTATTAATAGATATTAATAAAAATATCTTTGAGACAGCAATCCCAGAAATAACAGAAATAGTGACCTCTAATGGTAGAAAACTGCATTTTCCCCCATCCTTATCACATGACATGAAAATTAAAAATTCCATTTTATGTGAAAAAATGTTAATGCATTTTGCCCTTTATAGAAATGTATTCTCCTAGAAGGAAGGGCATTGAAGGTATGTGTAGATCCCCAAAATGTCAATTTAATTAATTGTTTGGAACGTCACCTCCAAGTCTATGATTTTCCTCATACAAATTACAAGGCCTAATAAAATTTGGCTGGCAGGGACAGAGAGATAAGATCTATACATCAGTGATTCTCAACCAGGAGATGAGAGGGAGACGTCTGTAGTAGTAGAAACTAGCGGGGTGTGTAGGGGACAGTGTGGGAGAATGTGGCTAGGGGGATGGAATGCAATTTTTATGTTTATCTGCAGGGGGCCTTAAGGCAAACTACTGACGAATTTGCTATTTTAAAATCATGAAAAATTCATCCTTAACATGATTACTTCAGGGTCATGCCAATATAACAAGACTCGTGATTTTTCCAAATGTATTAATTTTTTTAAAGGTTTTATTTATTTTAGAGAAAGAGAGCGATAACACAAGCAGGGGAAGGGAGAGAAGCAGGCTCCTTGCTGAGCAGGGATCCCAACGTGGGGCTCGATTCCAGGACCCTGGAATCATGACGTGAGCGGAAGGCAGATGCTTAACCTACTGAGCCACCAAGGCACCCCACAAGTGTAATAATTATAGGTGATGAATTTGCAAAACCTGGAAAATTGTTGCTTTTCTAATTTTTACCTACTATTTGCAAAAGTATAAACATTCTTCCTTCTTCAATTCATAAGATCCTTTCTTAATGGATTAAGCACATGTGTTATGTTTTTAGTGAGAAGTACAGTCATGCACTCAAGCTAGAAGAGAGGGAAGGAAGCTCCCCATTTCATAGAAGAGGAAACAGGATTACCTGGGAGGCATGATAACAACTTTAATATTCCCCACCTGGGGAATCCTCGTCCCTCAAAGGGTATTTAAAAAGCTACTATATTGAGAGAGTTATAATTCCTTTAATCTGTCATAGTTGTACCACAGAAAGTTTAGGCTGTAAACACAGAACTATTCAATCACTTAAATTAATTATTTTTACCAGTAAAAACCAACTCATCATGCAGGCAACTTTTCTCTTGCTTGAGGCGAATGATCTCTTCTCGTTGTTCATTATTTTCTGTTGTCTTTTCATTTAGATCCTCTTCACAAACAGAAGAAAACAAAAGTCCTTGAATAAATACTACTTCCTAGAAGAATATACACTGTGAGTACATCTCATGCCCTCAGCACCCTCTCCAATTAATGTGAGTCCTGTTGGAGCTGCAGCCAATAGAGAGGTCTCCTATCTACACCTCACCGCATCCCTGGCAATAACCTTGTCAGGCTTTCCTTTCCCTGACTGGTCTCTGCTCAAACCATGCCACTCCTGTTATAACCTATTGCCCACAGAGCAATAGGGAAAAAAAAAATTTTTTTTTAAGTAATCTCTACACTCAATGTGGGGCTCAAATTCACAACCCCAAGATCAAAAGTCACATGCTAGCTAGGCACTCCAAGGCAACCTTTTAAAAGTATAAAATCTGGGATCCCTGGGTGGCGCAGCGGTTTGGTGCCTGCCTTTGGCCCAGGGCGCGATCCTGGAGGCCCAGGATCGAATCCCACATCGGGCTCCCGGTGCATGGAGCCTGCTTCTCCCTCTGCCTGTGTCTCTGCCTCTCTCTCTCTCTCTGTGACTATCGTAAATAAATAAAAAACCTTTAAAAAAAAATAAAATAAAAGTATAAAATCTGCTCATGTCTCATGTCACTTCTCTCCTAAAAGCCCTCCTACCACGCTTAGGATGAAATCCAAATCACTACCCTAAGCCCTGCATAGCCAGGCTTGGCCTATCACTCTCCCCCTTCTTTTGTTATATTCCTTGAACATATCCCAACCTCACAACCCACCATAGTTTGCATTTGCTGTTCCCTCTGCCTGGAAGGTTTGGGGCCCAGATCTCCACATGGTTAGTTCTTCCCACCATCGAAACTTCTGCTCAAATGTTCTCCTCAAAGTCACCTTCCCAGGCCACCCAAACTGAATTGATTCTCCTCATTCTCTAGTCCACTGTCCAATATCTTGTTGTCCTTAAGAGATGACAGAGTCTGTCCCTGCTGTCAAGGGATAAATAGTGTGATTATGTTTTAGCTGAAGCTACAAATGTAGACAAAGCATAAGATTTGCCACAAGTCAGGGCATCATAAGAACAAGATTTTAGAAGGCTGAGTCTTTTAAATTGACCACAATAAACTTTCACAATTTCAACAGCAACTCAATGGCTGAGGGTGTTAGGAGTCCTGAAAATACCAACTCCATCTTGTTCAAGTCTGTGCAATGACCTCCCTTGGAAGCCGGTATGTTCCAGGCCCCTTGCAGGTTAATGTGTGCCCTGAATGGGATTCAGGGAGGCTTACTCTGATCTTCCTTCTAGTGCACAGATGGCCCCACTTTAGATAACCACAATGCCCTTGACCTTACCACAACACCCCTTGCTCTATAAGAGCTGTGGATTAAGGTCCAGACTTTGTGGAGAGTAGCTATAGCTATGTAGCACCAGGATCATGGTTGTCAGTAAGTTACCCTGAATAAAACTCTGTGTAAATGGCATGGAGTGGCCCCCTTCACTCGTCAGTCCCAAAGTGCCTTCTCGGTATGAAGGGTACTTTACTATCCTTTCTCTACCTTCTAACAATGAGGCACCCCGCTACAGACAGAGGTAACAGTAACTTCCACCAAAACACAGCTTTGTCATTCTAAGGTTGCTTGTTCCACAGTGGGAGTCTTTGTGTCTAACACCATGACCATTTGCTCTGCCCCAGGGTGGAGGAAAGGCCAGAGGACATGCCCCCTGTAAAAGTAAGCTTTTACTCCATTACTTACATCCACATCTATGTGGATGTAAGTAATGGAGTAAATAGGTTAGTCCTATTTGGTATACCTAGCCTCCCTTTCATTACAAAACTTCAAATAACATTACTTAGAAGGAAATGAATCATGGAGTTACTCTGAGAACGAAAATAGAAAAGGAGAACGCAAAAGGAATTTTCAAAAATAAAACATGCGCCAAAAAGCCACCCTGGCAGATTGTGTCTTTGGTTGCAATCCTTCATCCTTCCTTGCATTCCTCTCACAGAGGGACAGAATTTCTTCCCTGCTTGACTTTGGGTTCAGCCACATGATGCTTTAGTAAATGGAGGGTGTGTCAGGTCCTTGTGTATTTTCTGCTTCTTCTCTTCTATTTATTTTAAGTAAGCTCCACACACAACATTAGAGGATCTCACAGCCCTGAGATCAAGAGTTGCATGCTCTCCTGACTGAACCAGTCAGGTGCCCCTGCTTCTTCTGTTAAGTTTCTGCCTTGAGGGGCACCTGGGTGGCTCAGTCGGCAAGTGTCTGCCTTGGGCTCAGGTCATGATCCCAGGGTCCTGAGATGGAGCCCCATGTCAGGCTCCCCTGCTCAGAGGGGAGTCTGCTTCTCCTTCCCCCTCTGCCCCTCCCCCAGCACATGCTCCCCACCCCCCAAAAAAAAATAAAATAAATAAAATCTTTAAAAAAAAAATAAAGGGGCAGCCCGGGTGGCTCAGCGGTTTAGTGCCTGCCTTCGGCCCAGGGCGTGATCCTGGAGTCCTTGGACTGAGTCCCACATCGGGCTCCCTGCATGGAGCTTCTGCTTCTCTCTCTGTATCTCTCATGAATAAATAAATAAAATCTTTTAAAACAATAAAAAATAAAGATAAAAAGTTTCTGCTTTCACCAAAATGCCCAGGCTTGCCTACTGGCAAGAAGTGAGACACGGGGGATCCCTGGGTGGCTCGGTGGTTTGGTGCCTGCCTTTGGCTCAGGGCACCTTCCTGGAGTCCCAGGATCAAGTCCTGCGTCGGGCTCCCGGCATGGAGCCTGTTTCTCCCTCTGCCTGTGTCTCTGCCTCTCTCTCTTTCTATCATGAATAAATAAATAAAATCTTAAAAAAAAAAAAAAGAATTGAGACACGGGAAGTGGAGTTACCCCCACAGGAGCAGCTCAGCCGGGCCCAAATGAGATAAGGCAGTCCTCGTTGGGCTGATACCTGAGCTTATCAGATGCTTATGGTTGCATGCCACCAAGATGTTGTTGGTTGTTATAAAGCATAAATTAACAATAGCTAACTGGTACAGCAAAGGCAGGTTATATTAAAAATATAATGCATTTTGCAGTTTCTGCTAACTCTGTTATTTACCTTGTAACATGAAAACCACAGCACAATTCTATACAAAATGAACATTTCATGTTAGGAGCTAAGGGCAGCAACAGATCTCTCAATCACATAATGAAGTAAACTCAAATGAAGAAGTATGTGCCCACGATGAAATGCATGATGTCTCTTCCTTACCTTTCAATTTATTAACTTCAATTTTAAGTGTCTTCAATTTCTGCTTATAATCTTGCTTTTCTTTCACAATACAAGTCTCCACCATCTTTGCGTCATGCAAGGCATGCTCTAATAATTTAAATTTTCCTGAGCAGTCTGCAATGTGATTGACGGCCTCGATAATATCTTTGTCCTCAAAAACAAATTTAAAGACTATTCTGTAAATTTTTAAGTTTCAATTAATCAGTATAACTTTAAGATTTTTTTATTTTTAAGTAATCTTTACACTCAACGTGGGGCTCAAACCCACAACCCCAAGATCAAGAGTCCCATGCTCCACTAAGCCAGCCTGAAGTCCCTAAAATGAGAATTTTATTTTATTTATTTATTTTTTTAATTCATAGAGACAGAGACAGAGAGAGAGAGGCAGAGGCACAGGCAGAGGGAGAAGCAGGCACCATACAGAGAGCCTGACATGGGACTCGATCTGGGGTCTCCAGGATCACGTCCTGGGCTGCAGGCGGCGCTAAACCGCTGTGCCACCGGGGCTGCCCTAAAATGAGAATTTTAAAAGACAGCAACATTGGTAGCTCTACCGTCTGATTTGCAATGGGACTTTTAAGTAAGATAATGTATATGACTGTACTTTATAAAGTACACAGTGCCCTGACAAATGAAGGTATTATTATTTTGAATTACCTTTAGCTTTATCATCGTAGTGAGAGCCTGTTCTCGAGCTTGTAATTGTCCTACCTGAGCAGAAAGTTCCACTAATGTGTTGCTGAGATTTTCATTTCTAGCCTACAAGGGAACAACACATAAAATACTAATTGAGTAGTTTAAAAGGTTTCATTACTATTATTAGCCACAATTTGTGTTCATTCTTCTGTTTTGTCTTCTCTTTAACTTTTATTTAGTAGCAAACTGGGCCAAGGAAGCAGTCATCAAAAAGAATACAAATCTTTCTCTCTCTGCATTACCTCCAGCATTACTTAATTCATATGCCTGCCCTACTGAATCATAATGATTATGCTTACAAATGTCTATTTCCTAATCTCTTCTATGTATAATTCTAGGTTAGCAAAAAAGAAAATAAATGAAAACTGGATTAGTAGATTTCCTTTGCTGAAATAAAGTAGCATTAGTGAACTTCTATGCAAATATATGTATTTTTAAAATTTTTTTTTCCTTGGGACGCCTGGGTGGCTCAATGGTTGAGCATCTGCCTTTGGCTCAGGGCATGGTCCCAGAGTTCCAGGATCAGAGTCCAGCATCGTGACCCATCCCACCCCCCTTCAGGGAGCCTGCTTCTCCCTCTCTGCCTGTGTCTCTGCCTCTCTGTGTCTCTATGAGTAAATAAAATCCTTAAAAAAAAAAAAAAAAGTCAGTGGTTTTCAGAGGTTCAGAGAGACAGGAATGGAGCACAGGATTTTTAGGGCAATGAAATTATTCTGTGTAATATCACAACGGTGGATATATGACATTACACATTTGTCAAAACCCACGGAATATATAACACCGGGAGTGAACCCTAATGTAAACTATGGACTTTGGGTAGCAATGATGTGTCAATTAGATTCATTGATTATAACAAATGTACTATTGTGGTGCAGACTGTCCACAGCTGGGGAAGACTGTGTTTGGTGGTGGAGGCAGGGGATATAGGAGAGATTTCTGTACATTCCACTCTATTTTGATGTGAACATAAAATTGCTCTAAAAAAATAAAATTTAACAAAAACAAAAAATCTTCCTGCTCTGAATTGCATCCCCCCCAAACGCATATGTTGAAGCCCTAACCTCCCTCCAATATGGTGTTAACAGGAGATGCTCCTTTGAGAGATAATTAGATGTAAAAGAGGTCATAAGTGGGGCCCTCATGATGGAATTAGTATCATTATAAGACAAGACACCAGAGATCTTGTTCATTCTCTCTCCTACATTTCCTTTTTATTTTTTTAATTTTTTTTTCCTTTTTAAAGTAAGCTGTATGCTCAATGTGGGGATTGAACTCATGACCTTGAGATCAAGAGTCACATGCTCTATTGACTGAGCCAAACACCCCCTACATTTCCATTTTTAAATTCAACATATCAATATAGTTTTTACTTATTTTATAGATATAAACTATCTAGAATAATCTGAAAAAATTAAAAAGGCATTATCATTATGAAACAAACATAATATAAAGGATATAACAACAAAAATATGGCTCTATGTGCCTCTCATAAAATATGAGTTCAAAAAATATCTGATGGGGACGCCTGGGTGGCTCAGCAGTTGAACGTCTGCCTTTCACTCAGGGCGTGATCCTGGAGTCCTGGGATCAAGTGCCACATCAGGCTCCCTGCATGGAGCTTGGCTTTTCCCTCTTCCTGTGTCTCTGCCTCTCTCTCTCTCACTATGTCTATCATAAATCAATCAATCAATCAATCAATCTTAAAAAAAAAATCTGATGACCAGTTAGAACTGAAAGCTGAAAATCAATCTTACAGATTTTATTCCCAATATGCCACTAACTTGATGTAGATACTGTGTACATCTATTTGATCAACATCAGATAAGGCACATTAGAAAGTATAATGTAAAGCTACCAAATTTTTTTTTTTAAAGATTTTATTTATTTATTCATAGAGACACAGAGAGAGAGAGGCAGAGACACAGACAGAGGGAGAAGCAGGCTCCATGCAGGGAGCCCAACGTGGGACTCGATCCCGGGTCTCCAGATCACACCCGGGGCTGCAGGCGGCACTAAATCGCTGCACCACTGGGGCTGCCCAAAGGTACCAAAACTTGATGCTACTCATCCCAGACTGTGAGAAAGGCTTTCTAAAATGCCCTGTTGTTCATAAAGTGACAGATGCTCCTAGACCAAATGGCTGACAGTCAGAAAAGGTGGTAATGAAATTTATCTCCCAGACAGCACAGCACTGTGCAGCCAACCAAAGCCATACACTGAACACAAAACTATGGTGGTAGATGGACGGACGGACTTTCATACACATACATGCATTTTAACGGGTACATTTAAATCTAATTCTTCAATACGTGAAACACAAACAGAATTTGGGCTAGTAAAGCTTATCATAGAATAAAACCAACCTCAAGGTCTTCAGAGAGGAGAGAGGAATGGGTTGCTTTTTGAGCCATTTCCTGAAGCTGTAGCTGAGTCTTCTGAAGAGCCGCTTGGCATTCAATTTGATTAGATTCAAGGGTTTTTACCTTCTTTGTGAGTGACTTGATTATTTCAGTTCTTTTATGTAGTTCACCTGAGAAAATTTCATCAATAATTACCTTTTGATCAGATCTGAAGCTCAAAATGCATTATTTTTAAACATGATTAAAAGGCAAGTGTGCAAAATAATTTTTAAAGCATAATTAAGAATGTATTATGGAATCCACAATACTATACTCTAGTCAAGAAACAGACGTCAGCAACCTAGAAGCCCAATGGCTGTTACTTTCTAAGCACAATCTAATTCCCACCTTCCCAACCACCATCCTGATCTTAATCATTTGCCTGCTTAATTATAGTGTTACCAACTAAGACCACATCCCTAAAAACAATTTGATTTGAACCATATATAACTAGGATTATACTCTATGAGTTCTTCTGTCCCCGTCCCCCCCCCCCCCCCCCCGCCTAAAATGATGATCCTGAGATTTATCCACATTGTTGTGACTGGCATTTGTGCACTATTGTTGCTACATAATATCCCATTATATGATCATGCCAAAGTGTATTTATTACCATTGGTGGCCACTAGGCTTGTTTCCACTTTGCAGCTATTATAAACAATGTTGCTCTGAATATTTTTATATATGTATCTTGGCACATTTTTGTAAGTTTCTGTAGCGCCTTGCTACTCAAATGGAGTCCTTAAGCCAGCAGCATTGACATCACCTGGGAATTTGTTAGAAATGCAGACTCAGGCCCCAGACCAACTGTATCAGATCTACATATTAATAAGATCTCTAGGTCATTCATGTGTACTTTGAACTGTGGGTATATTCCCAGAATTGGAAATGCTGGGTCACGAGATATATATATCTTTAACTAGATACTGTCAAATGATTTTCCAAACTAGTTGTACCAACTGAATTCAGTGCTACCCACTAGCATTGAATGAGTCTTCCCTTGGCTCCATAATACCTGACACCTTTATATTTACCTGATAGTATCTTTACCAATACCTGATCATTTTTGTTGGTCTGCTAAGTGTAAATGGTATCACATTATGGTTTTTTTTTCATTATGGTTTTACTTTGCATTTCCCTAGTTACTAATATGAATGAAAATTTTTTTAAGATTGTGTGGAGCCCAACATGGGGCTTGAACTCATGACCCTGAGATCAAGACCTGAGCTGAGATTGAGTCAGATGCTTAACCAACTGAGCCACCCCTCAAGTTTCTTATTTTAAAATCAGATACTGTGGTCTATATGTAATGTCATCTTCATTATTTAACATATCTGTATATTACATCTAATGTGCAATCAAATCAAACACGTGTATATATGTATGGCTGGGTACGGTCAGAGTAAAATCAAATGATCATCAAAGAAATGGGAAATTATGCATATTTAGATTGTCATGTTTACAGAGTCCTTTGTGTCACAGAAAATAAAGGAGATGCTATGTATTTATCTTTCTATTAAACAAATCTGGGGATCCCTGGGTGGCTCAGCGGTTTGGCACCTGCCTTCGGCCCGAGGCATGATCCTGGAGACCAGGGATCGGGTCCCACATCAGGCTCCCTGCATGGAGCCTGCCTCTCTCTGTCTCTCGTGAATGAATAAATAAAATCTTTAAAAAAACACACACACAAATCTAGTGTTTTCTAATACAGTCTGCTATTGACATAGTATCATTAAAACATTCAGACTTTAGGACAGGACTAAAGGGATGACAATTAAAAAACAGTACAAAGGGGATCCCTGGGTGGCACAGCGGTTTAGCGCCTGCCTTTGGCCCAGGGCGCGATCCTGGAGGCCCAGGATCGAATCCCACGTCAGGCTCCCGGTGCATGGAGCCTGCTTCTCCCTCTGCCTGTGTCTCTGCCTCTCTCTCTCTCTGTGTGACTATCATAAAAAAATAAAAATTAAAAAAAAAAAAACAGTACAAAGAAAATTTCTGCAAGCCATTTTTGACACTGCTATAGTTTTAAAAGATAGCAGTTTTAGATACTTAATATCAAGTTCAATACCAAAAACTTAAAATCTTTTGAGTCAGTTCAACAGAAATGGCTAGTCCTATGGCATCTTTATCCATATTCTAGCTCAAAACTAATTTCAGATTCACTCTTGACACTCCAGGTTAATTGGAGCTATATCAAGCATCCTTTTTAGATTTAAGTTGTCTGCCCAACTTTAATTCACATTATTTTTGTTCGATTGTAAGTGTTCACAAAACCCTCCCATCTTCAATTAAACTAAACTCCAGGGCAGCAGGGATTGTGTTGAGATATTCTTTCTCTTATCTTTCCCGTGAGCCCTTTTTTTCCCCCCTAACGCATTTAAGTACATTTGTGTCTTGGGTGCCTGGGTGGCTAAGTCAGTTGAGCACCTGACTCTTTTGTCTCAGGTCATCACCTTGCGAGTCCTGGGACTGAGCCTCGCACTGGGCTCTGTACTCAGCAGGGAGTCTGCTTGAGGATTCTCTCCCTCTCCTTCTGCCCCACTCCTTGCTTGAGAGCACATTCTCCCTCTCTCTCAAATAAAAGTAGATAAGTCTTTAAAATAATAAATAAGTAAAAACATTTATGTCTAGCCCATGAGCCCTTTGAATATGCTGGCATACAGAAGTGTATAGCAGATACTGCTAATGTATTTCCGACCCTCTAATTTGCTGCAACGTTCTTCCAAAGTCAACACTTTCTGCCGATCCTCTTCCCATGAAAGAAGTTGTCTCTGATGTACTGCGACCATATCATTGAGCTCTTTATCACGATCTTTTAATTCTCCAATGAGCAGCTGCAGCTCTTTCCGTTGTTTCTCGATAGTAGAACACTCAACTTCTGACCCGATGTTCTAAGCGAAGAAAGTGGTTTTACATCAAAATAAAACTAATCAATAACATAAATCAGCCAAAGCATATTTTCCAAACAATTGTATCTTCTTTTGCTGCCAATTCAAGATAGTTAAATTATCTTTTATTCACTGGTAATAACATGGCATCAAAAGTACATATATTTAAAATGAGTTCATGCATACTGTGTACACTGCCTCTATAATTTTGTCATACCACACATGCCACTCTTAAAAAGTGGGACTGTTGGGACTCCTGGGTAGCTCAGCAGTTGAGCGTCTGCTTTTGGCCCAGGGCGTGATTCCGGCATCCGAGATTGAGTCCCACATCGGGCTCCTTACAGGGAACCTGCTTCCCCCTCTGCCTGTGTCTCTGCCTCTCTCTGCCTCTCTCTCTCTCATGAGTAAATAAATAAAATCTTAAAAAAAATTTAAAAAGTGGGACTATTTATAAAAAGCTTCATTAGCTAAACACGAACTCATTTTTGGCTTTTTTTTTTTCCTTTGCTGTCAACCCATTCCTTGAATCAATCAACAGTATCATCCCATACTCTGCCCCAGCAATTCTGGATCACTCAAGTAAAGGAAAACATGAAATAATTACTGTTGGAATGTAAATAATTCTCATAACATCTAGCACACACATTCAATCTACCAAGAACAACATAATATTGTGATTGGGCCAAACTCAACACAGGTACTTATAAAAGAAAAATTTCAAACATACACAGAAGAGAAGGGAACTGTACAATAAACTCTCATGCTCAGTACCTAGGTCCTATCAAGATTCTGCCCCATTTGTTTCAATTTTCCTTTCTTTTTATTGATTAAAAAATTATACTTCACTTATATATTTGAGATGCATATCAAAAAGGAACATTTTTATATCATCATGATGCCATTTCATACATAATAAAATCATCTACAGTAATTCCCTTTAGGCATATGTCATTTTAAAGTCTAGCGCAGGGCAGCCCAGATGGCTCGGCGTTTAGCGCCACCTTCAGCCCAGGGCCTGATCCTGGAGCCCCAGGATGGAGCCTGCTTCTCCCTCTGCCTGTGTCTCTGCCTCTCTCTCTGTATGTCATTAATTAATTAATTAATTAATTAATTAACTAAAGAAAGTCTAGTGCACCGGACGCCTGGGTGGCTCAGCGGTTGGCTCAGGTCATGATCCTGGGATCTGGGATCAAGTCCTACATCGGGCTCCCAGCAAGGAGCCTGCCTCTCCCTCTGCCTATGTCTCTGCCTCTCTCATGAAAAAATAAATAAAAATCTTTAAAAAAAAAAAAAAAAAAGAATTCTATCTTAAAAACGGTTAAGGGCAGCCCAGGTGGCTCAGCGGTTTAGCACTGCCTTCAGCCAGGTGCCTGATCCTGGAGGCCCGGAATCGGGTCCCACGCTGGGTTCCCTGAATGGAGCTTGCTTCCCCCTCTGCCTGTGTCTCTCATGAATAAATAAATAAAATCTTAAAAAAAAAAAAAAGTTAAAAGTTCGTCAGAGGCCCATGTATATATATCATTACTGATTTCTGAAAAGAATTATAAAAAAATAATAATGAATGAATGAGTTACTTACTAGTAACTAAACCCAGAAAACAGAATTTGCATCAAGTGATCCCAAATCACAAGATTTAAATTCTAGTCTTTGAGGACGCCTGGGTGGCTCAGTGGCTGAGTGTCTGCCTTTGGCTCAGGTAGTGATCCCAGGGTCCTGGGATCCAGTTCCGCATCGGGCTCTCCGCAAGGAGCCTGCTTCTCCCCCTGCCTATGTCTTTGCCTTTCTTTCATAAATAAATAAAATCTTTAAAAAAAAAAAAAAAAAGAAAAGATTTCTAGTCTTGGTAAACCATTCGTTCATTTATTGATTCACTGAACAAATAACTGCTGAGCGCCAAGTGGCTGGTGATGCGCTCATGAGCGTGCTGGCAAGGCGCACAAATTCTGGTACAGAAAAACAGGCCATAAACCTAGAGCATGCAAAGAGAAAAGCTCATCTGACCGTACTGGTGAGTGCAAAGCTCGCTTTCAACACTTTTCGGTAGAACTCAAGAGTGCTCCTCCACCCTCGGGTTACTGTGAAGGCAGCGAGGTGGCGCACGGAAAAGCAGCTCTCCAAACGCCCAGGTGTCGTTAAGTGAGCACCTAGTTACTCGCCACTCGTCTGGGCCGAATGTCGTTCTTACTAAGGGAACACAGGCGACCCTCCGCTTCTCCTCTTCGTGCCGTGTGTCGTTTTACATTTTAGGCAGAAACCGTTCCTTAAAGGCCACCCGCCAGAGTGGGGCCAGAGTGCCCCCGGGCCGGGAGGCTCGCCGTCCGCTCGCACTCACTCGGACGCACCGACGGGGACGCCAAGCCCGCGGCGGCCGCTCACCTGGCGCACGGCGAGGAAGGTCGCCGAAGGGTTCATGGGTGCTTCCTCCGCCCCCGGAGAAAGCCGGTGAGCGCAGCGTCACCTTACAAAGGCCATAGGCGCGCCTGCCCGGAGCGGGGGCGAGCCCCGAACCCCGGAGCCCCGCGCCCCCCGCGCGTCCCAGCGAGCACCCAAACCGCCCGCCCAGAGCAACGCGCCCGCCCGCCCCGCCTACGGCGTCGCCTCGGTGGGGGGGGGGGGGGGGGGCAGCCCGGCTCTCGCGAGACGTCGGAGGCCGCCCTCCCGCCTCTCGCGAGAGTGCGGGGCCGGGGCTGCAGTTTCTGAGGTTTACCGGCGGACGTGAGGTCCGCTGGCCACGACCCGTAAAGAGCCGGTTCTTTACCATTGTCCGGAAAACGAGGCAGCGGATTAAAGCCTGTTTCTGCCTCTCCCCCATCACCCCAGTTTGTGACCTTTGAGCTGTTCGCTTCTTTCCAGGTCTTGTTAGCTGCTGTGTACACCGGGTGCTGAGAACCGTACCTGGCCGTTCGCACGGTCCCTACCTGGATGGATGGACGCAAACGCCAGCCCCGGTAATGAGCAGCTGTTGACCATCCTAGCAGACAGCTCGCAACTAAGGATCACAGATTGAGAGGGGGGAATGGTGTTTTCTTTCTTGAAGCTCTTGGAAGAGCAGTGAGAACTTTGGCACTTGGTCATGACAACATCTACCACATTCTGGGGTGAACCTGAGCTTATTATTCTCGTGTTATCTCATAGTCATCCTTCTTCCCTTCACTTGTTATACAGGAACCGGACTATGAAAAAAGAAAAAGATAATACATTTACCCAGGTCCCCGATCCCCTACTGTTTAAACCATACAAATTACCAAATATAGTATGATAGTATTTCAACTTTACTTTTTTTTTTTAGATTTTATTTATTCATTAATGAGAGACACAGAGAGACAGAACATAGAGAAGCAGGCTCCATGCAGGAAGCCTGATGCGGGACTCCATCCCGGGACTCCAGGATCATGCCCTGAGCCCAAGACAGACGCGCTTAACCGCTGAGCCACCCAGGTGTCCCATCAACTTTACTTTTTGATTGACTATGAATAAGCAAAGCATGTCCTTGTGTTCATAAAAGACAATCTGAAAATGGAAAAAAAACATTTCTTGCTTTGAGGCATTACTGATTTGGGTGGCATTTGCCTCCTTAGGATAAGGTTGTTTGAGAACCAATAAGATGATGTCCAAGATTTAAAATCAGGAAAGTAAATTCTGACTAGTTAAAAGGATCCTATCAGTAGATGACTGTACAGTTAAGTCTCCGTGGAATGAGAAAGATAAAAAGGAAAGTGGCTGAATGTTAACTTTCCAGTTAAGGAGCATTTCAATTCAGGTTTCCCAAATTTCACCATTGTTAAAATGGGGTATTTATCGACCAGGCAACCACAGGCCTAACACTCATTGTGAAAATTTGTGTACAAGGGCAACTGGCTGACCGAGTCAGTGGAGCTGCTACTCTTGATCTCAGGATCCTGAGTTCAAGCCCCACATCAGGTGTAAAGATTACTTACAAATACAATCTTAAGGGTGCCAGGGTGGCTCATTCAGTTAAGCATCGGACTTTGGCTAAGATCATGATCTCAGGGTCCTGGGATGGAGCCCCACATTAGGCTTCCTGCTCAATGGGGAGTCTGTTTATCCCTCTGCTCCTAATCCATTCCCCCTCATGCATTCTCAAAACCTTTAAAACACTTAGGCTTGTTTTATGGATTAGTTGAGTGTGGTGAGAGGAATATGGCGATTAGTTGCATATCAAAAACTCAGTATTTTAAGTTCACTCCCGCAGGTTTACTTTAAAATAGAAAAGAGGCACCTAGGTGGCTCAGTCAGTTGAGCATCCAACTCTTGGTTTTGGCTCAGGTCATTATCTCAAGATCATAAAAGATTGAGCACCACCTTAGGCTCAGCCCTGGACCTGGAGCCTGCTTAGGATTCTCTCTCTTCTGCTCCTCCCTTTCTCAAAAAAATCAAAAACAAAACCAGAAAAGACCTTTAAAGATTATCTTTTAAAAATGACATAAAACGTTTTATGAAAGCTCCAAGCATTACACTTTATCTGATTTTATACTTCCTCTGATAAACTCATTCCTGTCTCCCTACCTTATTTCCTTAGAAAATAAAAACAGGATCTAAATGGTAGACTGTGGGGCACCTGGGTGGCTTGGTTGAATGTCTACCTTCAGCTCAGGTCATGATCCCACAAGCCCTGTATCAGGGTCCCTGCTCAGCAGGGAGTCTGCTTCTCCCTCTCCCTCTGCCCTTCCCCCTGCTTATGCCCTTTTTCTCTTGCATTCTCAAATAAAATATTTTTAAAAAACCAAATACATAAAAGGTAGACTTCTTTAAAATTGTGATTTATCAGGAAAAAAATTTAATTTTTATTTTTTTTCTTTCTTAAAGATTTTATTTATTCATGAGAGACACAGAGAGAGGCAGAGACATAGGCAGAGGGAGAATCAGGCTCCATGCAGGGAGCCCAATGCGGGACTCAATCCCGGGTCTCCAGGATCACACTAAAGACTTTATTTTAGGATCCCTGGGTGGCTCAGCGGTTTAGTGCCTGCCTTTGACCCAGGGTGTGATCCTGGAGTCCCGGGATCGAGTCCCACATCAGGCTCCCTGCGTGGAGCCTGCTTCTCCCTCTGCCTATGTCTCTGCCTCTCTCTCTTTCATGAATAAAATCTTTAAAAAAAAAAAAAGATTTTATTTATTCAGAGACACAGAGAGAGAGGCAGTCATAAGCAGAGGGAGAAGCAGGCTCCCTGAGGGGAGCCCAATGCAGGACTCAATCCCAGGACCCTGGGATCACAACCTGAGCCAAAGGCAGACACTCAACCACTGAGCCACCCAGGTGCTCTGCAATTTATCAAATTTTTAAGAGTGAGAAAGCTACCATGTATTTTATAAGATTTATTTATGGGGCTCCTGGGTGGCACAGTCTGTTAAGCATCCAACTCTTGGTTTTGGTTCCGGTTGTGATCTCAAGGGCCTGAAATGGAGCCCCGCCAACAGAATATGTGCTCAGCACAGGTCTGCTTGGGACTCTCTCCCCTCCTTCCCTCCCTCCCTCTCTCTCAAATAAATAGATTTAGAGAGAGAGCACAAGTGGGAAAGGCAGAGAGCAGGGAAAGGGGGAGAGAATCTCAAGCAGACTCTGCTCTGAGCATGGAGCCTAATTGGGGGGGGGGGTTCTTAGGTCTGAGATCACCTGGATCACAACCTGAGCCCAAACCAAGCGTCCCACGCCTGTTTAAACAGACTGCACCATCCAGGTGCCCTTACCATGTACTTTTTCTTAAGCAACAGCTGATTTACTGAGGCTCCTATGTAGTAACTAAAACGGAATGTAAAATCACTTGTCAGTATCTATTTTTTTTAAGAGAATAAAATACTACATATCAAAGTTGGGTTTGCATTTAAGTTGCCAGCTTAATTGTGGCAAATCGTTTACAATTATGACATAAGGCTGTTAAAGGTTAAGTACTCTTTTTGTTAAAAATACTAGACCATGAAAACATTTACAGAATACATACATAGAGTATATGAATTAAAGTCAATCCTTGGACTTAGCACATTTTAATCAGAGATTAATGCAGCATTTTAAATTTTAGGTCGAAGAAAAAAATTCACACATGTTATACACAAGGACAATTTTAATCCTCCATTATCCTGCAGTAACATCCACTGCTGGCTTTTATATGGATTAAAACTGCATTTGCCAAGAACTGTGAACATTGAGAATCTTTACATGGAGTCACAAGGTTGATACAGGCACAGAGACATCTTCCAGCACCAACAGAATACATACACAACACATACCAAATGGTCTTGATGGATAAATTTGCTTCATCAGACACTCATATTTAGTAAAATTCACAGTTAATGCAGAATTTCATTTTCTTAATTTGCATCCTTACTACACATTTTTTCTAAGATTTTAAATATTGAAAAAAACCACTCTCATTCATTCAAGGTTGTAATTTGCATGGCAATAAACAATGGGTTCTAAATTTCTTAAAGGTGTCTATAGCAATTTAAAATACCGGAGTCTTCTTTTTCAATTTGCAGCACCTAAAATACCTTTATAAAAACAAAGTTTAAATTCATTTACTGCATTCATTAAAATTCACTGTCAGTTTCTCTTGTGAGACAGACTCATTTCAACTGCTATTTCTCAGACTATATATATATATATATATATATATATATATATAGCATTGGTGTATATTCTTTCCAATTTGCTAGCAGAACTTAACTCCCAGAATTTATAGCCAGAACAAGAACTTGGTAGCATCTCTGAATGGCCTTCCACTCAAAACAATGGTGGTAATTTTGGAGGTCTGCTCCCCACTTAACATCACCAAACATGTTTCCAAAGTATTTTGGAAAAATATTTTTAAAAATATGCATAATATTCTACCATATGGTGCACTATCATTCCTCAACCATTTCTCAATTGTTCATTTGTTTCAGTTGCAATTTTTTTTATCTTTATGAGTAACATTGTGATGAACACCCTCACCCAGTTTTAAGCAAGAATGATTCTATCTTTAAGATAATGTCAACTAAGTGGCTTACTGGGTCAGACTGCAGATGGTTTTAAGGCTTTAATATACTTTACCAAATAATCTCCAGAAGAGTGTGAACAACTCCTACCAACATTAAGTTAATGTGACCACGAAGTGGACTTGGTTGGTAACAATGAAGCAAATTCAACCACAAATCTATTAGATGCCCAAGCATCTCAAAATTATCACATCAAAGAAGCAAGGAGACAGTTATTAATGGTGATGAAGCCAAAATTCAAATTCTTTAAAATATTACTCAGCTTTAAATCATGATGTAATCAAATCATGATTCTTTTAAGATAATAAACAGAAAAGCGTTGCACAAAAAATCTAGTGTTTTTCCAAAAATAAAAAGTTAAAAAGAGAAA